GGAGGAAGCGCGGCTCCTGGCAGAGATCGGCGCCGTGACCCTGGTCAGCGCCCCTCGCCCGGATCCCAACCAGCATGGTCTGGTAAGAACCGCGGGGCCCTGCAGGGGAGGTCCTGGGGGTCCCGCTTTGGAGTGGCTTGGAGTTAGGATTCCCAAATTCCTCAGGCCTGCGAGCTGAGTTCTAGCTCACTTTACTTTTCAGGCTCTGGCATCGTTCAGACGCCAGCAAGAGCAGAGCTTTCAGGAGCAAAGTGCGTTGGCGGCCGAGGTCCGTGAGAACCGGCGTCAGGAACTCCTGGAGAAGATCGCAGAGGGCCAGGCTGCCAAGAAGCAGAAGCTGGAGCACGATTCCGGGGCCGTTGGCAGCCGAGCCGCGGACGAGAGCGAGCTCGGAGGTGGCCAGGCCTCGGGGGAGCAGGAGGAAGCAGGTGGGCGGGGCCGGGGAGGGGAACGGGGTTTGGAGTTGGGGCTGTATCTCCCCGGGCGGCAAGACTTGACGCTTGGGTTCATCGGGTTTTCCTCTGCATTCCTCCAGTGCCCTCTTCTCGAGCAGCTAACGATGGGGCGGCGCCCTTGCCCAGGTCTGCCCTGCTCGTCCAGCTGGCCACCGCCAGGCCTCGGCCTGTTAAGGCCAGGCCCCTGGACTGGCGCGTACAGTCCAAAGACTGGCCTCACGCCGGCCGGCCCGCCCACGAGCTGCGCTACAGCATCTACAGAGACCTGTGGGAGCGAGGCTTCTTCCTCAGCGCAGCCGGCAAGTTCGGTGGCGACTTCCTGGTGTATCCCGGTGAGTTGGGGTTAGGAGCTGCGGTGTATTTGCTTTTCCTCACCTCACCGTTCTGGTATGTCCTGTATCCCATCCTTTCCTTCGAAAGTACTGGGGATTGAACCCAGGGCCTTGCACGTGCTAATCAAATATGTATCACTTCAGCTACATTCACAGCCCCCTCCCCTTTAAATTTTGAGTCAGGATCTCCCTAAGTTGCCTGGGCTGGCTTCAAACTTGTGATCCTCCTGCCTCAGCCTCCTGAGTACATGTGATTACTGATCACATGCCCCACCACACCCCAGTATATTTTATCTTTTTGTCTTTCTCAGCTTCTGAAGCCCATAGAAGGACAGGAAGCTTGTGGGAGTTCCCATGCTCATCAGGGGCAGCTTAGCAACTTTCATTAATCACTTCCAGTGACCCATAAGATTCACCTAGGAATGTTTAGACATGTACAGAACAAAGTAGAATGTTTGCTGCAGGATTGTAAACGGTATTGAAAAATTGGTAAAAGACCAAGATAAGTGATAGGTTAGTAAACATAGCAGTTAGTAGAGAAACAGCATAGCTGTCAGATTGCTGTAGGTCCATGAGTGCATAGGAAAAAATCTGAGCAAAGAAAGGAGAAGAGGTGCTGGGGTATGGGTTTGGTTCAGTTGCACGTGTATATGGTTTTGCAGATAGGCACATCACTTCAATATCCTTGAGAATCATGGCAGGTGCAGTGCAGTGTGCATTTGTAGTCCTAACTATTCAGGAAGCTGAGGAAGGGGGATTCAGCCCAGGACATTAAGGCCATCCTGGACAACATAGTGAGCTCCTAACCTTCAGACCAACAAACAAACAAAAAAAGCCACTTTGGGGAAAACAAGTTTCAGTCACTTAATTACTTAACCCTACAGTTTGAGTGGAACCACAGGCTGACCTGTTACATCACTTATAAAATAGTAAATGTCTGTACACCAGATAGGCAGAGAATACTTGTCACCTAAACATTAGTATTGGAGATCTGAAACTTGCCAGGGATGTAGTGGCACCGTGCCTGCCTGATAAGTGCAAGGTCTTAAGTTCGATCCCAGGTACAGAAGAAAAAAAAAACTGAAACTCTTTCGTGTATCTCTTTTTGTGTGTTTATTTTTTGAAGTTTTTATGAGTACATGTTTGTAGTACATAATGATTACATTCGTTGTGAGGAATTGTCATGTACAAAATGCATCTCAATTCCTTTTTTCCCTTTTTCAGCCCTGATTTGGTTTTGAAATTTATTTTGCCAGCATCGGATTGATTTGTTTTATAGCTCTGTATTCGGGTAACTACCCTAAACACAGATGAACAGCCGGACTAATGGGCCAAAATAAGCCTCCAGTTAGCCGTCTTAGCTTCCCAGGCATTTTTGCTAACTTTTCTTTTCACTTGTCCACATGTGCAGTGCGGTCCGGAATGACTGCGCCCCATGGGGGCTGCTGCACACACGTAACGGCCTCAGTTCTTTCACGTCCCCTTCCCTCCTTCCGCTGCAGCTCGCTGACATCCAGAGAAGTGCTGGCTCCCACTGGGATCATGTTAGAAACTCAGTTGGGCCCCGCTGAGGGACATGGTGACGGCCCCTCCCATGGGCTGTCCCAGAGCCTTGTCCTTTCACGACTCCCTGTTCTCTGCAGCACCTGTCCTGCTCCATCCAGGGACCTGGTCCGGCCCAGGCCAGTCTGGCCCGCCACCTGCCACCCCGCCTGTGCCTGTGTGTGTGGCTGCCGTGTGCCTCTCTCTCCGGCTGAGCTGAGCACTGGCCACACAGCACGCAAGTGGAAACGCGGACTGTGGCTGTTTTTGCAGAAAAACTTGTAGACCTCTTTGTTGCTCTCTCCTATTGTAATATATTTTCTTAGTGGCAGGTGAGAGCTCCACTGAGCCACACCTCCACTTAGTAGTTTTAGCCCAGTGATAGAAAACCACTTGGAGCTTTCAGTGGTACCGGCAGCCCACTGTGGCGCGTTGCCCTAGGCTCACCACCAGTTTTAGGCTGTCGGGGTCACTTCTCAGACGCCCTTGTGAGCTCCTCATGGCATTAATGGTTGCTGGCTCTTAGCACATGTTCACGACTACAACATAGTCAGTTATGTACTTTGTTGTTTTTTGTTTTTGTTGTTTTGGTACCAGGGATCGAACTCGGGACCTTGCCCTTTGCGAGGCAAGTGGCAGAACCACTGAGCTAAATCCCCAGCCCCTTGGTTTATTTTTTTGAGGCAGGGTCTCACTATGTAGTTCAGGCTGGCCTTGAACTGACTGGGTACCTCAGGCTGGCCCCAAAGTTGAAGCAATCCTCCTGCCTCAGCCTTCGGAGTGCTGCGGTGACAGGCGTGCACCACCACGTATGGCTATTTTCTTGATTTTTAAGTAAGATTGTGCCTTTCGTGATATGCTATCTTGCACCCTTCTTTTTCTTCTCAGTGTATCACTGACCGTTTTCCCTGTCAGCATTCTTTTTTGTTTTGGTATGGGGGATCAATCTCAGTACCTTGCACCTGCGAGGCAGGTGGAGACACCACTGACCTAAATCCCTGACCCAATGTCAGCATTTTTTAAAGCTTAATAGTTGTGACAAATCCCCTATGATGAATGTTGTCAGTATATATATCTAAAATATACCAGTAAAATTTAAAAAATGGTTGTGGAATAGACAAAGCTTGTATAAATGCTGTACTTGGTTTTACAGGTGTATCTTGAATTTAGCCAGTCCATGGCTTGATTGGTCCCATTTGTTAGCAATGATGAGTGATAACAATACTGTGATCAGCTGGGCATGGTGTCGCACACCTGTAATCCCAGCACTGAGGAGGCTGAGGCAGGAGGATCACCAGAAATTCAAGGGCAGCCTGAGCTACATAGTGAGTTCAAGGACCGCCTGAACTGTGTAGCCAGGTCCTGTCTCAAAAAATAAAACAACAACAACAATATAAACTGTACTCAACTCATCATGACAGGTACTTTACAGCGCAGCTAGTAAGAAAAATATCCCTAGGCGTGGCCTGGCTTGTGCTGGGGTGTGTGTCTCCGCGCATCTATAGCGAGTCAGAAACTGAGTTGTGTCCGGCGTCCCGGCCCTGCCGTGGGGACACAGCCGAGCCCCTCTGTCTGGCAGGCGACCCACTCCGCTTCCACGCCCACTACATCGCCCAGTGCTGGGCTCCCGAGGACCCCATCCCGCTGCAGGACCTGGTCTCCGCCGGCCGCCTGGGAACCAGCGTGAGGAAGACGCTGCTGCTGTGCTCCCCGCAGCCCGATGGTAAGGTGGCCTACACCTCCCTGCAGTGGGCCAGCCTGCAGTGAGCGGCGCCCTCCTCCTCTGCACCAGGGCCCCATGCTCGTCCACACAGCGCCAACCGGCTGTGTTGCTCTGTGGTCACCTTTCCACTCCTCGGGCTTCTTGAGAGTGGGGACTGGGTTCGGTTTATCTGTTTCCTGCAGGCCTGCCCCAGCGGGGCTCAATAAACTTGTCGAGTGCATGTCAGATTTGTGATGTGTCTTTGTGGTAACCCTGCAGGTGTGGGCGCGTCCACCCGTGTCCACAGGTGCAGGACAGGATGGGAGGACTCACGCCGGTCATCAGCTTGGTGTTAGACTGGTCTCTCTGGCTTGTCACTTTGCTTCTTGTCACCACGCTGAACTTCATGTAGAAAGGGTTTTACAAAATTAGTCAGGTAGCCGGGTGTAATGCTGCACACCTTCATCCCAGCACCCTGAGAGGCTGAGGCAGGAGGATCGCAAGTTTGAGCCCAGCCTGGGCAGCGTCACAGTTCAGCAAGGTCTTGTCTCACAAAGAGGAAAAGGGCTGGGAATGTGGCTCAGTGTGAAGGCCCGGGGTTCAATCCTCAGTACTGCAAAAAGCAAAACAAAAAACCAGTACAAATGTACATTTATAAAGCAAAGTATTACCTTTGTCCTGAGAGATTGCTGGAACGTTACTGATACTCTAACATTTATGTGTCTATCTCAATATGTAGTTTTATTTTGTCTCACAGATTTTGTTAATATAACACATTCATGTAGAAAAATTTCTGGGCCTGAAAGTCTCATCCTTTGGGTGTTTAGCTTTTTCCCCTTCATTTTCTCCTTTCTTTCTTGCTCTATTCAGTAAATAACCTTAGTAGAATCTTAGTTTCCTATGTTTCTTGGTGTATAGAGCACTCACTCCTGCCAGGCTGACGCTGCTGAGTGGTGCTTGGCTGGCCCAGGCCCTGGCCTTTCTCCTCACTGCAGGACACGTAGAAGTCTTAGCGTCTGCCCCACTGAAAGGCTGTGTTGCCTTCACCAGACCTGGGTGCAGTTCAGTTGTGGGACACTGGCCTTGCACGCGTGGGGCCCTGATTCCATCCACAGGACCTCAGGAACAAACAGAAACCCCTGGCAAGGGGTCCCCCGGCCCCTCTGCCCCGGGTCCTGTGGGTGCTGCTCCCAAAGCGCCGCAGAGCCAGAACTGGGCCGCGTCCCCCGCCTTCAGTGCCGGCACTGGCACAGCTGTGAGGCTCACCTGGCTCACCGGGACGTCTCGGTGGCTCCCTGACCCTTCCTTCCGCCTCTGCCCCGTACTGCTTTAGAGCAGCAGGATGCTGCGGTTCAGTGAGCCATCAGACCCAGCAGTTTCCAGCTCAGAGCAGAAGCCAAGGCCGATGCTGCAGGTTCTTCATGAACCTCTGTCCTTTCCAGGCTCAGCTCTCACCACACCCATTTCTTCACCTTACCCTGGCTGCTGGGACAGTGCTGTACCCTGGACAGCCATAGGGATTTGTCCCCCACTGCTGGCTGCTCAGGGACACCTTCCGTGGTGACCCAGAGTTAAAGTTTAACACTCTTTCCACATGTCCCTTTGATACTCCTCAAGCTCATCACGAATGTGCTACATTTTGTTGTTGTTTTTGAAGTTTTGTTTTGAGACAGGTTCTTGCTGTGTAGTTCAGAATGGCCGTGAACTCACTATGTAGCCCAGGCTGGCCTAAAACTTGTGGCAATCCTCCTGCCTCAGCCTCCTGAGTGCTGGGATTACAAATGCGGGCCACCTCATGCCCCAGGCAAGCTGCTTCTTAAAATAGCTTTTTTGGCTGGAGATGTAGCTCAGTAGTGCTGCACCTGCCTCAAAAGCGCAACGTCCTGAGATCCCCAGCACAGAGAAAACAACAACAAAACAGCTGTGTGGAAGTGTAACATACATGAAAAGGATCACTAGTTTTAAGTGCACAATTCACTGACTTTTAGATCCTAGGGTCATGCAGGCATCACTACAGTCTAAGTCTAGGTCGTTTCTGTCATGCCCAGAAGATCCCTCTTGTCTCTGTTTGTAACCACTCTCACTCCCAGCCCCAGCAGCCTTGGATCTTTCTGTAGTGGCTTCCTTTGAGCGCGTCCCCTGCGTGGATCCACAGCCTTGTGGCGCCTTTCCTTGGTGGGGCTGCAGTTTCCGCTGTGGACTGGTTCTCCCCATCTTGGAGTTTTTTTTTTTTTTTTGGTTGCTTTGGGTTCCCGGTTTCGCATAGTACCCAGCCCAAGAAGCGTGCTGGCGCGAGGTAAGTCTTCAGTTCATTGCTGAATGAACAGCGTTTTGATCAGTGATAATGTTTTGATCAAAGTTGACTAAGAAAATTTAAAAATTCTCTGTACCATCTTCCTATTTTAAATCATACCTACATTTCTGATCCCTTCTTACTCAAATTGCAGCACACTGTACACACATCTGTAGCTTGCCCAGACCACTTTTGCTAACAGCTGCAGTTTGCAATGGGTGGATGGCTCAGTTAATTTTTCTTTTTGCGTTGCCCAGGTTGGTCTCAAACTTCTGGATTCCAGTGATCCTCCTGCCTTGGCCTCCGGAGTAGTGGACTAGAGCACATGCTGCCACAGCTGGGTCATATTAGTATCTTCACAGCATGTGGACGGAAAGCACCCGCACCCCTCCGCATCCCACCCCTGATGCTGGCGGGGCTGTGGCTGCCACATCCCCACCCACTGCTTTCAAGGAGAGGAGTGGGAGGCCTGTGGGAGGGCTCTGTGGAGAAGGGGCGCATCCAGGGCTGGGCTGGGAGAAGGCGGAGGCTGGGGCCTCATCACCAGCATCGTAATCATCGCCGGATACCGTACTTCCTGTGCCATGGGCTGGGCTTTTTTTTTAACCTATTATTTTTTGCTTTTTGTTTTTTTTGAGACTGGGTCTTGTTATGTAGTTCAGGCTGACCTTGAATTCACTGTGTAGCCCACACCGGCCTTGAGCTCACTGGCAGTCCTGCCACAGCCTCCCAAGTGTTGCATTACAGGCATGCGTCACCATGCCTAGCTTTTTTAAAGCCATCAAATCCAATGAGGAATTATTGTTACTGCCCCGCATTGCATTTAGCACATGCAGAGGGGCTGATTTTGCCTAAGACCAAGAGCTGGTGTGTCTGTTTTCTGTCGTTGCTGAAACAAATACCTGACACCCAAAGTTAAAGGGAAAAGGTTTATTTATCAAAATTGTAGAGGTTTCAGTCCATAGTGGGATGGCTCTGAGGCAGGGTGGCACATGGCAGAGGGGTAACAGTTCATGGAAGACAGCAAAAAACGAGGGGCCTTAACATCTTTCTGCCCCTTTTATCCAGACTCCCAGGGGATTAGGGCGGGGCCAAACCAATCAGACCAATTGAATAATCACTTATCCTCAATCCCAGGGTCACACGCTAGATTCAGAGCCACCTCTGAAAAAGCCCTATGACCATGTGAGGCTTTGGAGGAACAGCTAGACACAAGCCATAAAATGGTGGGTTTTTTGGCTTTTGTTTTTACCTTTAATTTGAGAAGTCATAGACTTAACTACTAACATAAAACCACCAGAACCAAAACTTTTCTGATCAGAGCCAGGCACTTCAGAAGCTGAGGCAGGAGGACTGCAAGCTCGAAGCCAGCCTGGGCTTCATAGCAGGACTCTTGTCTCCAAAAATCTATAGTCATTTAGTGGCTGGAAATTGCAGAGCCCAGAATTCACCCTGAATGGAGTGAGAAGCGTAAGAGTTCTTTTTCCTCCCATTTTATTTCCCTTCCTGAAGAACTACCCGGGCATTAGAGAGAACAAAAGTGAAACCCTGAAGACATCCACAAAGGATTAAAGCTCTGTTAGGTTTCCATTGTCCTGATCCCCAATGGGCAAAAGGTACCCAAAGGCAGTTCACAGACAGGCGGAGCCACAGCTATTCGGGCGACAGAACCTTTTTTTCTGAGCACACAGACACAAACATAGGCAGGCCTAATGGCACTGGTTCAGCGGGAGCACTGAGGCAGGAGGATTACTATGGGTCCCAGGCCAGCTCGGGCTATGAAGTGAGACCCTGTTTCAGAAAAAAACAACCAACCAAACAAATGCAAATGTAAATCACCAATTTTCACAGATCATATTGATAAAAACGAAAAGGAGTTAAAATAAAGCTGGTGTGGTGGCGCGGCCTGTAATCCCAGCACTCGAGAGAATGAGGCTAGAGGATCACCATGAGTTTGAGGACAGGCTGGGCTACACAGTAAATTCCAAACCAGCCTGATCTATCCTAGCAAGACCCTGCCTATAAAACAAAACAAAACAACTGAAAGCAACAACAAAAAGGTCTCATTGCCATTGCCATTAATTCCCTTCAAAACACTCTCCCTTGCTTTTTTTTGGCTTTTTGCCACTTTTCTTTTGGCTTTTTGAAACAGGGTCTATGCTATGTAGTTCAGGTTGTCCTTGAACTCACCGTGGAGCTCAGGCTGGCCTTGAACTCTTGGGGGAGCCTCCTGCCTCAGCCTCCCAAGTACCAGGATTACAGGCGTGCATCACACATGTGTGGGACCTAAATTACAAGCCCTTGCTAAATGGCAAAGGGCCTAGGAGACAGTGTCCTGAATCCCTCCCATTGTAGCCACAGCCCCGACCTTTGTTCCAGCCCTGGCCTAAGAATGTGGATCACTCTTGTATTGTTTGAAGTCCGGATCTGAATCTACTTGTAAATTAGAGACTCCAGACATAGAGCCCCAAGTTAATTGACAAACTGTTTGCTCATCTGGAGTGTCTTGGTGACCTTTGAGACATCCTATGGGTGGTACCTGTCACTCATCAATATGTGACTGTTGAGCATGTGACTGCTGACCACCAGCTCAAGTCAGCAGACCTTTGTCCCCTGCCTGTGAGCCCAAAAATGTTAACCCCCTCTTTTACTCCCTATAAGAGGACCTCAGCCCCTGAGCTAGGGGCCTCTCTGAGCCAGCCACTTGGTTCTGAGAGTGCCGTCTGGCCAGACTAATAAAGGTCTTTTACCATCTAGCCTGGTGTGTTCCTTCCTGGGTTTCTCGTTCCTCGGTAGCGCTCACGGAGCCTCATTGGGCTTTAGGGCCCAACATTGCAAAGGCCTTTTGGGCTGTTTGCGCTCCGTGGAGTGGAAATGAGACTTTTAAGTCTTACACATGCCCACTTTTGCCACTTTCTGAAGCACTTCTGGGAGTCCTCTTCTGTGTTTTTAGTTGCACTGTTGTGACTGCCTCAATGTCCTGAATCCATTAAAAACATTTCCCTGTCCTGGTTATTTTGGGTTTGGAGAAGAGCCAGAAGTCTCACACTGCCAAATCTGATGAATAGAGTGGATAGAGACACACGGGCAGGTTTGGACAAAGCTGCCTTTTGGTTGATGGTGCTCGGTAGTGAAATAGCACTTGGAGGCAGGCAGACCAAAGAAGAGTGGCTCTCAGAGAATTGAAGAGAAAGACAGGTTCATTTGCTAGTTAGTGGGCCCAGCGGAAGTCACCTTCCAGAGTCTGAGTCCTATTTCTAAATTTGTTCTAACATCTATCTGTTCTTTACCCAGGGCAGGGGAGCAGGCAGGATTTTTATAGAAGCAGAATTTAGCAAAGGGTAGGGAGGTGGAGGTAAATGTTTCTACACTTTATCGTTAAGAGATAGGCAGGTGGGCAGCTGTGTCTCAGCAGTTCATCTTCTGGGCACAGTGACCTTCGTGGGTCTAGCAGGAGGGGCGGGCCTTAGGTCATCATTCTCACCAAGCTTTGCTCTGCTCTTTTTTTTTTTTTTGGTACCGGGGATTGAACTCGGGTCCTTGCGCTTGCAAGGCGGGCCCTGGAACTGCTGAGCTAAATTCCCGGCCCTTTTTCAATTTCAATATAAACATTTACTGTGTATTGTTTTGTTTTGGAGATAGGGTCTTGCTGTACAGTTCAGGCTTTTCTTAGACTTACTGTGTAGCCCAGGCTGGCCTCGAACTCATAGCAGTTCTCCTGCCTCAGCCTCCTGAGTTCTGGGGTCACAGGCATGCATTACCATGCTCAGCTTTTCTACTTTTTGTCCCTGATTCTAACTTCAACTAAATAAAGCTCAGTGTGGTCTCTTAACCAGTCAGCCTGCAGATAGCTTCTTCAGGCCAATAGCCTTGAGTCAGGGTACGCCTGAAGCCTTTCCTTTTTTCACCAAAAACCTTTTACCCCCTGCCTGTCTTTAAATCTGCAAAATGCAAGTGACAGCAGCTGAATGAGTAGCATGTCCTTGTTTTTTTCTTTTTTTTTTTTGAGACAGGGTCTCACTATGTTGTTGAGACTGACCCGGAACTCACTATGTAGCCCAGGCTGGTCTAAAACTAACAGCGATTCTCCTGCCTCAGCCTCCCTGAGTGCTACGATTACAGGCGTGCGCCACCAGGCCCGGCAGCATGTCCTTGTTTTCATTTGTTTTGCCTTCATTTATTTTTACATCTTATAATCTTGAGAAATGTCCCTAACTATTGGTGCATTAGTATGTGTGCCGGTAAAATAGGACTGATAACACCACTTGTTTTTGGTGTTTTGAGGCAGGGTCTCAAAATTGGGGACATCCTCCTGCCTTAGCCTCCTGAGTGCTGGGGTTATAGGTGTGCACCACCATGCCCAGCTCCTATGGGCACTTTGAAGGAAAGTAGTTGAAAAGTGTGAGTCTGTCCAAGAGATAAATGGTACCAAAGCAGAGCAGAATGTGCAGCAATCATATTTAGAACATTTCCCCTGTTCTCGGAATCCAAGAGAAACCTCAGGATAGAAACTGCTTTTTATAAATTAGGCTTAAATAGCTTTATTAACTCACGGGGCCCCATTGCTTCTTGGCCTTTTGGTTAAAATCAAGGGTAAATCACTGCGCCTTCACTGACCATCATCTGAAGAACCACCTTCCCTTAGTCTTCAGCAGTTTATTTTCTTTACAGCATCACACTGTGAATGATTTTCGTTAACTTCCCTTGGTCCCAATTCCCTTATGAACGACTGCTTTATTCACTGGTAAATGCAAGCGCTTGTGCTGCTCAAAATTCTGTTGCACGAATGAGACCCTTGTCGAGGGAGGGCAGCTCCCCAAAGGTTGCCACTGTTAACGATTCCAGGTTGGCAGGTTTCTACCAAGGTCTCTTTTCGTCTATAAAATGCCAGGCAAGACGGACGGGAGAGCCGCGTCCCTCTGAGTCTCTGCATACACTCCTCAAACGGACTGGTGGCCAAGATAAAACAGCAGGCCGGCTTTTGGTAACGTTCAGGTCGCCTTGCTTGGTTCTGGAATCACCTTCTGACTCGGGGACAACTTCCGGCTCAGGACGCGCCCAGTGTCCCGGGCCTTAGAAGAGCGAGGAGGCAGAGGTCTAGAGGACGGGCACAACTCGTCCGGTCCAGCTCGACTCAGGCAGGACTCCAATAGTAGGGCAGTTCCCTATTTGTCAATAGGATCTGTCCATCGGAGGAGAAGGGGCTCCCGACACCCCTCCTGCTCAGATCCCCTGAGACCGCAAAGCCTGTCAAAGACCCAGCCGCTGGACAAGGCCGACCCAGCCAGCATGCCGCTCTTGCCCACCCTCTCGTCTCTACTGCTCTTCCGTTCGTCAACGCCTCTTCTGATTGGTGCAGATGTGCGCCTTGCGTGATGACATCACGAGACGGCGGCGCCTGTATAAGAGCGTGACCAAGGCGCGTGCGCCCTCTTTCTCAGTTCCTGGGACCAACTTGTAGGTGAGTTGATGGGTGCTTTAGTCGGGGTTTGGGGTTCGCTTGCACAGGCTTTTCGAGCTTCCGCGAGTACGCTGACGCAGTCAGGGAAGAGAAGAGGCTGGTGGGACGCGAGTGTGGCGCCATTGTGGGGTAACTAAAAGTTGAGCTCTTGTCGCGAGATGAGTGGACGCCACGAGGCCGTCGCGCAGTGGCCGGACTGCGCAGGCGCTGCTCGGGAGGCTCACTCACCGACTTCTGCGCAGGGCCAGCCGGGCGAGCGGAGGCAGCATGCCGGTGGCGAGGAGCTGGGTTTGTCGCAAAACCTACGTAACCCCGCGGAGGCCCTTCGAGAAATCCCGCCTTGACCAAGAATTGAAGCTGATCGGTGAGCGCAGTCCGCGCGGTTTGGCTTCTGGGGTCTGAGGGAAGTTAGCACGTGGGTGAGGCCGCGCACGGGGCGTTGTAGCTGGGCGCTGTGATGTGTCCGCCTCTAGCGAGGGTTTTGGGCTTAGGAAGCTTTTGTGACCGGCCTTTGAACTAATGCTTTGGTCCGACCCTCTTCGCTCCCTTCCCCCCACGTGCAGGCGAGTATGGGCTCCGGAACAAGCGTGAGGTCTGGAGGGTCAAGTTTACCTTGGCCAAGATCCGCAAGGCTGCCCGGGAGCTGCTGACGCTGGACGAAAAGGACCCGCGGCGTCTCTTCGAAGGTGTGTGCATGAGCCCGCTGCAAAGGGACGGGTTTTGGCTCTGTGTTCCGGTGATGAAAGTTTTGAACAAGCGGAACCAGCTTTTGGTTTAGATTTGTTCTTGGTCCGGGGGGTGGGTTGTGCCCCAGGGCTTTAGGGCAGCCCTGCCTTGGTTCAGTGCCATCCTTTCTCTGCCTCAGTGCGCCTCTCATTGCTTGGGGTGGGACGCCCAGGCCCTTGCTTTGACAGCTCACACGCTTTAATTTAGCGTTATAATGGAAATGAGAGAAAAGTGTATCACTGTTAAAATCTTTGCCTTAGATGCGTAGCTTTGGTTTATCCCCGGTTTTCCTTTATTCATGTCTAGAGATGGTGATGTTAGTCACACTTGGATACCTGACTGGCTGTGTATTGTGTAGCAGCACAGTTCTTTGTTCCTTTGTTGTTAGTGGGAATTCCTGGTATGTCTGGTTGATAGGGAAGGGACCCTGGGTGCTTAAGTCTATAAGTGGTCAAGGAGATTTAATTGGCTTATTTTTATTTACTTATTTTTGATACCGGAAATCGAATTTGGGACCTTCTGCTCACGAGGCAGGCAGCAGAACCACTGAGCTAAATCCCCAGCCCTGAGGACTTTTTCTTTTCCTTCCCATTTTTGGTGCTGGGGATCAAACTCAGGACCTTGCGCTTGAGAGGCAGGTGGCTGAACCACTGAGCTAAGTCCCCAGTTCCCCTTAAGTGACCTAAAGTCCTGAGAAGGACAGATCATATATATGTCTTTGAGGAAAGTGTTTCAGGCCATGATAATTGGAGGCAAGGAATGTGAATCAATATAGGAGTTAAACTTGATTTAATATCTGAGGTAGGCTAGCTCCTTCCCTCACTTTTTTTTCCTCTACTGTCGATTGAACATTGGGCCTTTGCACTGAGCTCCAACACTAGGGCTTTTTAGTTTTTAGTTTTTTTTTTTTTTTTTGAGACAGGGTCTATGTAGTTGAGACTGACTAGGAACTCACTAGGTAGCCCAGGCTGATCTCAACTCACAGCCTCCCAAGTGCTGGGATTACAGGTGTGTGCCACTACCCCCGGCTAGGGCTTTTTACTTTTTGTTGTTGTTTTGCTTTTGAGACAGGGTCTCACTATGTAGTTCAGACTGCCTGTGTAGCCCAGGTTGGCCTTGAACTCACAGCGTTCCTCCTGCCTCAGCTGCCTGCGTGCGCCACCACGCCTGGCAATGTTTTACTTTTTATTTTGACACAGGGTCTGGCTAAATTGCTTAGGCAAGGTTAGAACTTTTGATACTTCTGCTTCAGCCTCCCACAGTGCTGGGATTACTATATTTACAGTAGTCTTGAGTACCTGAATCACAAGAATCCAGGACTTTGAATCCTATGTCAGCCCTTAGTTGCCTTGTCCCACCACCACTTGGACGCAAGGAGTCTGTGGCCCGACCCTGACTAGGCAGGCGTTCCATCCCCTCCTCCCAGGCAATGCCCTCCTGCGGCGACTTGTCCGCATTGGGGTGCTGGATGAAGGCAAGATGAAGCTGGATTACATCCTGGGCCTAAAGATCGAGGACTTCCTGGAGAGGCGCCTGCAGACCCAGGTCTTCAAGCTGGGCCTGGCCAAGTCCATCCACCACGCCCGTGTGCTCATCAGACAGCGCCACATCAGGTACCATGCAGCGGGGTCCAGCTTGTCCCCATCCCCGGCGGTGGTGGCCCTCACTGAGCCTGCTGTCCCTGTCTCCTGTGCAGCCCTTGGAGCTGACCAGGGTGTGAACTCACCTTGAGGGACAGATGCACCCCGTAGACAGCTTGTGGGGGAGCCCAGGGCAGCCTCGGCCCCCCCATAGCCCAGCGCAAGTGTCACTGCGGCTTGAGCCGTACACCTTGCAAAGGCCTCTGCCCAGTGTGCAGGCAGCCGGACAGGTAACACCTCTTGATGCCTCTGGAGGGTGAGGGCTGGGCCTGCACTGGCCAGGTGGGCTCAGCTGTCTGCTGCACTCCCTGTGATGCCCAGTCCAGACCTTCACTGCTGTCTTGCACACATCATTGTGAACACGGGGGTTTACTGTCTGAGGTCTGAGGCTGAAAGGTCAGGACTGCAGGGCCCAGTTGGCTCAGGCCTGTGATCCCAGCCTGGGCGCTAGTCACGTAGCAAGACCCTGGGGCAGTTTTAAAAAGCAGGGGTGTGGCCCCCCAGCCCCCCTCACGTGCTGTCCTCCTTCAGGGTCCGTAAGCAGGTGGTGAACATCCCATCCTTCATCGTGCGCTTGGACTCCCAGAAGCACATCGACTTCTCCCTGCGCTCCCCATATGGGGGAGGCCGCCCCGGCCGCGTGAAGAGGAAGAATGCCAAGAAGGGCCAGGGTGGGGCTGGAGCCGGGGATGACGAGGAGGAGGATTGAGCCCACCCTTCCTGGGCTGATGAAGGGTTGTTCAGTTTTTCGGTGACAGAATAAACCAGAATGAACAGTTTGCAACTTGTGTTCCATTCTGTGCTTCCTACCCCCAGCACAGCTGTGAGCAGTGGGAGGAAGCTGGGCTCCGCCTCCAGGTGGGCAGGAGGGGCCTGTGACCACAGCCTGGCCTGCAGGGTGTCACTGTGACCTGGCCAGGAGCCAGGGTGGGTCCTGGAGCCTGCAGGGTAGGGCTGCACTGAGTCCTGTTAGCCCTTGAGCACTTGGAGCACAGGCTGTTGCAGGGTCTGCAGGGTGTGAGATCTGGCTGCTCCCTGCTCTGTGTTTTGAGTGGCTTGGGTAAGTGAGAAATGTGTGTGTGGCTGGGCAGGGGCCTTTGAGGAGCCCTGCATCTGGACTTGTACTTAACCTCAGGAGGGGCGGCTTCCCTTTTCTCTGAATTTTTGAGACACTGTGGCAGGCAAGGAAGGAAGGGGTTTCATTTCTGGAAGAGAAACACTTGAAGTTGCCCAACTCCCTCAGCAGCTGTAGCCACTTTGCATCTTGTTCCTTTCCTGCCCTGTGAAGTTGCAGCTCTGCTAACTTCCCAGCATCAATGCAGGGCAGGCTCTGGGTTCCCTGGCAGATGGCTGGGAACCCTGCAGTCTCCCATTAGTTGCAGCTCACTGGCCACATGGGAAGCCTTCTTCCCCAAGGTGGCCACTTGCGTCTGGGGGTCAGCTGAGTCACCTTGGTCGGTGGGGAGATGGCTGTGCTTTTGTCCTTGTTCCCAGAAGCAGGCACCTTCCAAGCATCCCAGAGCTCTTGGTCCATGCATATCTCTTACCTGCCAGGGTTTGTGCCTCTGTTCCTTGAGCAGTGGGGATGGGTGGTGTCCTTTCCACAGCAGAGTACTCAGCAGAGCTGGGCTCAGCTGGGCGGGCTGACACTCGGGAGGAGTTCCCAGAGGTCTCTTGTCAAGGTCTAAAGATTTGGAAACCCAGGGACAGCAGGAGGGAAGCTTGAGGGCTTGGGGAGGCCAGGGGTCAGGCACAGATAGGAAGTGGGCATGGGGCTGTCACAGGCCCTGGTCTGGGAGCCCATCACCACCTCTAGTTCAAGGCACACTTGGTCTTGCACTAGCACAGGGCAGGATGAAGTAACTTGGAGAACCAGGACTGAGCTAGATTAGGGACGCCCCAGGCCTCTGCTGTCCCCACAGTCCCTCCGTTTGGCCCTTTGTGCAGCCAGACTGCAGCCACGAGCTATCCTGCCTCCTCACCTTGGGCATTTACACCTCAAGGCTGGGAAGAGACCAACAGAAGGGGCCATGAAGGACACGTTGCAGCACCACCAGCTGCCTCAGTGACAGCCCCTGGATGCCGCAGAGCTGAGGGGCGGGCGGGGGAGGGCCACCTGGATGTAACGTATGAGTGGGGAAGATGAGGGTGCCAGGCAGGGCCAGAGCGGACTCCCTGGCTGTCCAGCTGTGTGTCCTTGGGCCATGTGTCTCACAGTGCGTTGACATTTTCCAAGGTCGCTGAGATCCAACCCTGGAGGCTGAGGTCTAAGGAGGCCATGGTCACAGTGTGAACTCAGGCTCTCTCTCACTCAGGTGCAGACTCCCCGGCTGCTCGGCCTGCCCAGCCTTGTTCTCTTAACCCAGGTTCTCTAGGACTTTGCAGCAGGGTCGAGCTGGGGAAAGAGTTCTAGGTGGCACAGGAAGTTGGGGTAGGGGTGGGAGTCTGCAGGTCTTTGGGGCAGGCTGTGTGGGCCTCTGTCTTTGGGTTCTACCTCTGCAGGAGATTGTAATCAACTCCAACCCACCTCCAAGTCTCCCCACAAGCTGTGGTAAATTCTACAGTCTCATACCTGGAAGGATTGTGATCCCGTCTCTGGAAATCTACAGAGCAGTTCTAAACCAAAACAAACGACGTGTGTTTTCACATGTTTAAAGAGCCAGCGGCATACTCATACTCATGTGTCCACGTGCACTTACGTTGAGGCTTCCTAGGTTTTCTCCCTGGGAGATGCTGCAGAGCTGTTCTGAGCTGTCTTGTCCTTCTCTAGCTTTGCTCCTGGCCGGTGGGGCTCTGCACTTGGGGTGCACCACCTCCTGAGCCCCAGCTCACGCCCTCCCTGCTCACGTGCCTTCCTGTGCTTGCCTTTCAGGTGAGGAGTCAGGAAGTCCCAGCCTCGGGGAGGAGAACAGACCTCTTCCTAGATTGGCTGGCGCTTAGCGTGGAAAAGGTAGACACCACCACAATTAGTCAGTTGTTCAACTCCAGCTTCGCAGGGCTGTAGGTAAATGAGTGGAGGCCGTCTGTGACCAGAAAGCTGGAGCTGCTCTGGGCATGAGATCCGGGTCACACCCGGCGTACGCCATGAAGTGCCTTGGGTTTTATGATGAAGGGCAGATTTTAATTAAGGAAAGGGAGACAGTCTGTTTCTAGGAGACCAGAACCGTACACAGGCATGCGGGACAGCTGAGTTTGGAGTGATCCACGTTAGCCTGCTGTGGATGATGTGCTGAGCTGCTTCTCATGGTTCTGTGGCACCGAAAGATTGGTAGTTGAGAGGGGAGAGGCAGGTAGGCTTCCCTTTTTCCTAGAGGAAGTTTAGAAACGAGTTCTTTGAGGAGTATCTACTGATGGACATGGCTTGGATGTCTCATATACACCATGACTCTTGACTGCTTTGTTGACCCTTGGGCTGATTTAGTCTCACGCAGCTTGCTCACCACAGCAAGGAGCAGTGGCTGTGTCATGTGTGCACACACAGTCCAGCCTAGGTGTGTAGGAGGCCACCTTGCCTGGGCTTGTGTAAGTGCACTCTGATATTTGCATGACAAAATGATTCATGACACAGTTTTCAGAACTATTCCCATTGTTAAGTGGCGTTTGTAGTCTACAAGAAATTCACTTTCAATGTAATGATGTAACCAGGTCGATAGCAAAACAATGAGCAGTGTGGGTGACCTTGAAAATATATTAGGCAAAATAAGCCAAGCACAAAAGGAGTTGGAAGTCTGACGGGTAGTTGAGTTCTATATGTTGGTCACGCATCCCACCTACACTGGAATTATTCCTTTCTTACATGAATAAAGAATCCTGATGTGATTTTGGGTCCTGTGCTCACTGTGGTGGCATCTCTGCATGATGTGATGTTCCTCTCACCCCCACCGGTGCTCCTCAGCCTGGCTTATGTAACTGTCTGCTACCCCTGGGCCTGCTGAATGGACGTCATCATGGAGTGTCCTAGATCCCAAGCCCAGGGCTCAGACTTCAAGTTCTCACCCTTAAAGATGCTGGTCTATGGGAATTTTTAAACGTGCCTCTTTAAATGATAGTGTAATAGTTTCCTTTAGTTACTATGAGTAGGTAGTCAAAGCAGTCTAGCAATAGGGCCAGATAAAAGAAACAGCCCACTTGGGTTAAGAGCTAATCAAGCAGCTAAGCCAAGCTTAGAGATGCAAACAAACCCCACAAACTCACAAGAACAAAAGATAAAAGATTAGAATGAGAGCAGAGAGTTAAGGACCTTTCATCCCCAGAAGGCAGGTCCTACCCCTCTGGATAGACATAGTTAAAAACTCCTTCCTATTTCAGTATGAAATTCAAGAAATATTAGAAATACAAAATAACCAGTTTCTTTTGGACTCATTTCCTTTGTAGCAAGTCCCTGGCTCTCCTACCCACAGAAGGCCAAGACACAGGAAGCATGTTGGGCTTTTACCACCTCAAGAGTTTTTTCTTCTTATTTTAACTCCTGTTGTCCTTGATTTTATTCTTCAATTTAGTGAGATAAAAAACTCAGCTTTTTACAAAATTAACGGTGTTGATAGGGTCTCTTTTAATTTTGATAAGGCTTAATTATGTGTGATTGTTCTAGTTCATCAAAAGGCTCACCTGCAATTATCAAAAGGATAACTTTTTTGTAATCTGTGAATATGAATGTCCAATTATGTTTATTAAATTTTCAGTTACTCCTGCCTTTTAAAACAAAACCAGAAACTCAACTGTGATCATGGTATGTTGTCGTTTCTATGTATAACTGAGACTATTTTGTGGTATTGGGAGTAGAACATAGGGGACATTGGGCTATCTCCACCAATACAGTCCCACTTGACTTCAAACTTGGGATCCTCCTGCCTCAGCTTTCTGAGTAACTGGACTTACAGGTGTGCACCATCAAGTCCAACCCAAATATATATATATTTGGTGCTGGGGATCGAACTCGGGCCCTTGCTTTTGCAAGGCTGGCAGCAGAACCACTGAGCCAAATCTCCGGTCCCACCAAATATATTTTTAGGCACTCACATCTAGGTTGATGTGAGAGATCTTCCTGTGACTTCCCAGATATTTTGTAGTTTTCAAGTTTTGGTATCATTTTTTTTCTGGTCTGATAAAGTGTGCTGGACTGCATTTCGTTTCTTCTTTTGCTAGTTGCAGGAAGAGTCAACAAAGTTTAGAGTATATGTGTGTGTTGTAAATGTGTGTGTGTGTGCAAGAAATCATCAAAGTCCCTGAACTAGAGCTTCCACTGAGGAAACAGTTTTAATTAGAGTCAATGCACTTGGTGTGTATGAGATGTCTCTCCATCTTCTAATATGTTGGCATAAAATTGTTCATAATGTTCCGCTGTTTTCTTCCTAATGTGTGGGAGCTGGGTGTGGTGGCTCGTGCCTGTAATCCCAGCACTCAGGAGGCCGAGGCAGGAAGATAACCATGAATTCGAGGCCAGCCAGGGCTACATAGTTGAGTTCAATGCCAGCCTGAACTATACAGCAGACCCTGTCTCAAAAACCAAAACCCAAACAAAACATGAGTGGGATTTGTCCTCTGTCTGCTGTTTCATTTTGAATGTGTGCCAATTCATTTGGCCTCAGTATAGCTAATCTTATTATTTCCTTCATTTTATGTTCATTTAGAGTGATTTGACATTCTTCTTTATTTTTTAAAAAATTTATTTATTTCTTTATTTAGGTTTTTTGAGACAGGTTCTCACTATGTAGTTGAGACTGACCTGGAACTCACTGTGTAGCTCAGGCTGGTCTTGAACTCACAGTAATTCTCCTGCCTCAGCCTCCCGAGTGCTGGGATTACAGGGATGCACCACCACGCCCAGCAATGACATTCTTTTTTAAATGTTTGATATGATAATTTGGTTCAGTGGTTTTCAGAAAACATTTTCTAATATCTTCATCCTTCTCTCTGAGCTTCTTCATTTCATAGCTGTAAAGTTGTAACTATCACTGAAAAATGGGACTCTAGAACGTTACTTTATTTCTTTTAGAGACAAGCGACCTCCCTGTGTTTCCTGAAGCGCAGGCAGTAACACCGCGCCCTCTCCTCTGCCCTCCGGGAGGAGCCCACGGTGCTGGCCGGGGTCGCACCTCTGCTCCACTCCCCTGTGCTCGCGCTGTGGGACCCGGGCCCCTGCCCTCGGCCTCCGCGGCCCGCTGTGAAGAAGCCTTCCCTTCCCCTCCTCAGTGCTGCTACCCACGCGTCATGTCGCCACGAGCAGTGTCGTTCATAACAAGCATCCTCTCCTAGGTGTTGCTTCTATGTCACACAGAGTACTGAGGAATCTCCGACTTTGTTTCTGCCTCAGGAGCTGTGAGCTCCGACTGCGGCCCTGGTCTCAGGAGGCCTCAGCCTCTGGAGCACGGTCAGTCCCCGCCCAGGCATCACCGAGCGTCCCCGGGGACGGCTCCAGGGTGAGTGGGCACCAGGGCAGCGTGCACACTGGGCTCGGCGGGGAGGGCCCCGGGCCTGGAGGGAGGCGGCGTAGCAGTGCCCCGTCTGAGCCCCGTCTGAGCGTCCAGCAGGTCACGTCCTGGGGACCCTCAGGGGCTACGGCCTGTGGGAGAGGGGAGGGGAGGTGCGTGCTTGGCCCTGGAGAGGCCTGGGGCCTGGGGGAAGCGGGACCCACCTGAGCGTCCGTCCGCCTGTCCTCCGCGGCCTGTCTGTCCTCAGGGTCCAGGAGCTCCCCCCACAGGGGCGCAGGAGGGGAGGCGCCGCTGCCCCTGGGAGCCCAGTGCTTCACCTGGGCGTATACCGCTCCCTGGGCGTCTTCATCAGGTGGGCTCTGCAGCAGGGAGACAGAGACAGAGACCCGGCCTGCTTGGTCCCACGCTGTCTCCTCCAGCCAGCTTCCCACACGGTGGCCACAGGGATCCTGTAGAAAGGAAACCAGACCCTGTCCCTTCCTCATGGGACTCAGGGGCTTCCCCGGGGCTCAGAGGGTCTGGCCACTTCCTGCCTGCAGTGCTGGCCTTGTCCCATCCTGACACCAACCCTGCTCCCTGCGCTCCAGGGCACGGGGTTCCTCCGGGGCCTGGGGGGCTCATTCCCTCAGGTCCTTCTGAGACCCAGGGGCTGATAACAGATGACAGAGCTGAGGGCCAGGAGGGGACGGAGGGCGGGGACCCGGAGGGCACAGGAAGCCAGCAGAGGTGGGGTCACAGCAGGCGGGTAGCTGGGGCTCCAGAAGGGAGGGCTCAGCTGTGAGGTCCCCGAGAGCTGAGGGCAGAGCACAGAGCGGTGTCCCTGGACTAAAGCAGGTGACAGAAGTCCCTGTGCCCTGGGTGGGGACAGGGCCTCACCCGGGCATCCAGCTCCACCCCATCCTCAGGCTGTGAGTCCTTCACGGCAGCATCTGTGGGCACAGAACAAGGGGTCCCCTCCTGGCCAGAGTCCCCAGGGCCTCTCAGCCCCACAGGCCCCCGCCCCATCCCCACTGGGGACACAGATCCGGGGAGCTGAGCCGATGTCCCCAGGACCAGTGTCGGGGTCCAGTCTGCCCCTGCCCGCTGAGGCCTCGGGGCGTCTCCCAGCAGGGCCCCTCTTCCCCTCACAGAGGTTTCCTTCCTGGGCGGCAGTGGCTGGGCTGGAGCTGGGGAGATAAGGGGCTGTCAGGGGCACGAGGGCAGCCGTGGGGCGTCTGGGTCCTGGGCCGGGATTACCTCCTCCGCAGCCCTCCGTGCTGGGGCGCTGGGTCCGAGGCCTCTGCAGGCTGGGGGAAGTCGGCCTCTCTCTGGGCTGGGGATGGAAGTCGGCCGGGAGGCTCGGAGCCACCGGGGGACACGGACAGGGACAGGGACACGGCTCTGCTCTGGATTCTGAGCCGGGCTCTGAGGGGATCCGAGGCTCTCCTGGCCCCCAGACTGGGTTATAGGCCGTGCCCTGAACCCAGCTTGCTCAGACCCTGGTCACCGCAACCTCCCAGGGCCCAGCTCACCTCGCTCCACCTCCCTGCTTTTGCCCTGACGCCGGTGTCGGAGGACAAGGAGGAGGAGGAGGAGGAGCAGCAGCAGCAGGACGAAGGCCACCGAGGCCCCGATCAGAAGCGTCAGGTGCCTTCCCAGCCCTGGTCCCGGCGAGGAGTGGGTGAGGGAAACACAGCCGTGACTTTGTGCCTGGGACAACACCACTCAGCGAGGGTCGCTGTGCCCGACCCACGCTGGGTGTTTGCGTTCGTCAGCTCAAACTCAGTCCTGCAATGTGCCACTGCCACCCTCACCCAGGCCTTTACGGATGAGGACACTGTCCCAGGTCCCCGGGCGGGAAGGGGCAGAGCCGGGCTGTCTGCCTTCAGCCTCGTTCTGTCCAGCAGGGCTGAGCCCCTGAGCTGGAGGGAAGGAGCCCGCACGCCTGCCGTGGCCCTGACCCCTCCCTGCACCGAGTCACCGTCACTGCACGGAGGGGACAGGACGGGCAGCGTGGGGTCCGAGGCTTCCCTGGGAGGTCGCCCTGGGAGGAACCTGGAGGTCAGGGCTGGGCCTCCCCCTTGCACCTGGAGAAACTGAGGCCACACAGGCCGGGTGGTCCAAGTCAGCGTCTCCAGGGAGGCTGCAGGGCCCCACAGCTCAGCCTCTGCCCCCTGGAGTCCTCCCAGCAGGGTGCTCAACCCTGGGGGCCACAGCTTGGATCTCAGGGCCTCCTAGCATGGGAGAGGATGGACTGGGTCCCCTGCTTCCACTTCTGCTCCTGCTCCTATCCCCACTTTGGCCCAAACGTCTCCCCCAGGTGGACCCCAGAACACTGAGCACAGCCCATCCCGAGGTTCTGAGGGGGATGGGATCCTGGGAGACTCAGAACTGCTGGCTCCTGGGAGTAATGGGGCCTCAGTGACAGCTGGGGGGGGGGCTCCCAGAGCATCCTGGGAATGAGCACAGGAGCAGGAAAGGGTTGGGGCCTCCCATGAGTCTCTGCTCCCTCCTCCACGTACCCTGGTCTGCCCAGACCCTCCTGCTGCCTGCTGGGCAGGTCCTGATGCAGAGCCAGGGCTGAGGGGTCAGGGATGCCGACTCCTGCACCTCCTCCCTCTGAGGGGACCCCTCACCCTGACTTCCCGTCCCCCTGTTCCCCTGCCTGCTGGAAGAGCCCTGCTTCAGAGCCCTCGGGGACTCCTTGAGCTCAGAGGACGGGGTCAGGGGCCAGGTCAGGGTCCTCATATGAGATTGTGAGCTGCAGGGAGTCGCTGGGCCACGTCCGCACGCCTGCCGTGGCCCTGACCCCTCCCTGCACCGAGTCACCGTCACTGCACGGAGGGGACGGGACGGCAGCATGGGGTCCGAGGCTTCCCTGGGAGGTCGCCCTGGGAGGAACCTGGAGGTCAGGGCCAGGCCTCCCCCTTGCACCTGGAGAAACTGAGGCCACAGAGGCCAGGTGGTCCAAGTCAGCGTCTCCAGGGAGGCTGCAGGGCCCCACAGCTCAGCCCCCGCCCCCCGACTCCCCCAGAAGAGCCCACACTCGCCAGGACCAGCCTGTGCTCCTGAATTTGGGGGGCTGTGTGGCTGATCTGCAGGGTGCCCTGGGGCGGGATGGGGAGGTGAGAGGCTGGGCTCCCTGCTCCCCACTGCGGCCGCTGCTCCCCCAAGCTGGGCCCCGACATCTCCCTCTGCCTTCACCCCTCCCTCATGCAGCCCTGACCCTGAGCCCTGTGGACCCGGGTCCCCCTACAACTCTGCCTGAGCCCCAGTCCCCGGACACAAGTGCAGCTGAGGCTGAAACCAGGGCTGAGATGGGCTGAGAGTCCCCAGGCCCTGGTCTTGGGGTGCTAGGGACAAAGGCCCTGGACTCACCTGCTGAGGCTGGAGAGACGGGGTCCCCGGAGGGTCCTGGAGTGGGGACAAGAGGAGGGTTAGGAGCCGGGTGAAGAGTAACTGGGACGCCTGGGGACTGCGGGTCGGCAGCTCTGTGCCCCCGATCCTCTCCCCCTCAGGTTTTCTGAAGAAAAGCCTCCCCCAGAAAACTGCTCGGTGGCAGAAATTGAACCAAACAAGGCTGGGGCTTCCTCACCTGAGACCAGGAGCTCCAGGGGGTCACTGGGTTCTGACCACACCTGGGGCCTTCTCCAGTAATAGCCGTAGCATCTGAACGTCCACCTGTGGCCGGGGGTCACAGGGCCCACAGGGAACAGGGCCTGGACCTGCCCGCTGGGGCCTGGCTGTGAGTCCAGGGTCCTGGAGAGCCCGTCTTCTCCTTCCTCGGTCAGAATGAACCTGTCGTATTTCCACCATGAGCCACACTGGAGGGTCACGGTCCCTCCTGAGGTCACCACAGGGCTGGGCAGGGCCGAGAGGCTGGGTTTGCCGTAGACTCCTAGGAGAGGAGGAGGCAGCGCGTTACATGGACTCACCCCCCACACTGT